AGATAATTCGCCCTCAAAATGTTAGGCTGATGATTGGAGAACTGGATAAGAGGAATGAAAGAGAACGCCAGGCTTTTGAATACTAGTGACAGGAAAAGTGGTGTTGCCATTGACTGCAACAGGGAACACAGCAGAAACCGTTTTTCAGGTTATGTTTTCTGGACTATGAATCCAGCATTGTACATATTTGATTCAGAGGTGCCAGCAGGTCATCAATTTGTCTAGCAGGATGTAGTGAATTTAACACTACAGTTTAAGAGAAATGTTACAGCTAGAGAAAGAAAGTGAAGAGTACGTCGGTCCATCAGTGAGGATTAGTTTGCCTGCATATAGCAAAAAGTCCGAAAGAACAGAGGCTTACATCTGTAAGGGTTTATTTTTCTCTCGCCTAAAGAAGTTTGGAGGTAGGAAGTCCAGGGCTGGTCTGGTGGCTCCGTGGACATCTGAGACCATGCTTTCTCTGGCTTTATGTGCCACGGCTCTCTCTGCATGTAGGTTCTAGCCTCAGACAGCACATGTGGCCCCAGAGGGCTGCTGGAGCTCGAGTCATCAAACCTGCCTTCCTGGCAGCTGGAAAAAAGAAGGAAAGAGAAATGGACTCTTCTGAAAGCCTGATCTACTTACATCTCGTTGGCCACAACTTAGAAATAGGGTGCATCTTGCTTTAGATGTAAAGCAAAGAAAGTAAAGCTGGAAAATGTAGCCTTTTAGATGGGTGCGTCGCCACCTTGAAGAAAGTCAAGGATTCTTCTACTAAGAATAGTGTCTTTCGGGTGGGCAATAGTTTATTCTACCACAGGTGGCAACAGCCTAAAATGAGACAGTAGAGATCATGAGAGAAAAGTGAGTTTTCATAAATGTTCCCCCAGCTGAAAGGAACAAGTATCCAGCAAAGACACATGGAATTTAAGAGCAGCAAAGAATTCCAGTCATCACCTAATCCAGTCAGTCCCTGCATTTGGCTGGTGAAGAGCTTGACGCACAGAAACAAAGAGGTTTGGCCAACATGGCACAGCAAGTGGGTGGCCGAGCTGGGGCCAGAAGTGGCTTCTCTGGATGAGGGGATGGAACAGACTGTGGGGAGGGTTTGTAGCAGCTCCATCCGAACATGCCTGAATAAGGGCTCACTTTAGGCAACATTATGCTGATTTGGAGAGGCTGGCACAGAGCAGGCTTGGATTTAAATCCGCACTGTGGGACCTGGCGTGTTACCTGGCTTCTCTGATCTGTGTTACAGGGTAATGGCACACAGTAGACCCTCCATAACTGGTAGTCATTATTAACGTTATCATTAGAAAGCAGTAAATCTTTTTGGAACCACTGAATGAATCAGTAAACAAATGAAACAGGAATGAATGAAGTCAGAACAGACAGCTCGCCATCTTCTATGGTTTAGCTGTTTGCTGAGAGATATAAAAGGCTGGGTAGGTGGCTTATTATATGTCCTAGCTTTAAAGTCTCTCACTCCAGCTTTCCACACTTGTTCTGCCATCATCTTTGCTTCTTTGGACTCACGGTGGGCGGCCTGTCAAACCAGGCCGCTTGCCTCTATGACACCGGATCCCTTTCAAACATACCACTCCCACAAGGGGCTAGCTAGATGCAGGCTCCCTCTGCTCCTTGATTTCATTTTCCTCTCCTCCCCTCACAGACCCCCTCTTCCACTAGTTCACCTCCTCCACCTCCTCTCCCATTCATCAGGCAACAAACACACTTTGATAACATAAGACTGAGGTTAGTGTCGTGTGACAGTTTAAAGAAGAGTCACAGACTCCAGCCTTGAATTACTTTCACCACGACTACAAATACAGGAGTCATAGTGACGTTTTCTAAGACATCATTATTAGAGTTAAGATATCTGTGTGACAAACTCCAAGAAACGACTAGTGGGTACCAAAGAGAAGGGGGTGGGAAGGGAGGGAGAAGGGGATTGAGGAACATTATGATTAGCACAGAGAAGACAAGTAGTGACGCTATAGCATCTTACTACACTGATGGACAGTGACTGCAATGGGGTGTGTGTGGGGGGGTCTTGATAATATGGGTGAATGTTGTAACCACAGTGTGCTCATGTGAAACCTTCATGAGATTGTATGTCTGTGATACCTTTATTAAAAAGAAAAGATATCTGTGTTATAGCTGTATTTTTCCCACCTCCCCCCTTTATTGCTGACATTCTCCCAACTGTCATTATCTACTCTTTGCTATTTTACATAGTTTTGTGTTATTATTAGTAATTCTTAAAAGGCTGTGAAATAGTTATATTTATGGTCTTCTCTTTCATACCTTAAAAAAAACCACCTTCATTAATTCAGTATCAACACTCAAGGTAAAATAACATTAAGTTACCAAATGAAACATGCAAAACCCATAAACACTGTGAGAGTCTTATTAAATTAATTTGTTTTATTGAGCATATACTGGATTCTAGTTTTACTTGGAAATGTAGAATTTATGTCTTTTATATAATATGGCAATAAGGCCCATATTGCTCTGGCCAGGACTGTATGCCAGTCAGAGAGGAAACAGAACTCAGTATTTGCTCATCTGGGAAAGTTTTGCATCCAGAAAGCCTGGAACCTTCTCTGCAGTAAGAACACTCATGCATTCCCTCTGCTACCAGGTTGTGTTTCTACTGCTAACTACCTGGGTAGACTTTGGAGAAGTTGTTTTACTTTCCTGGGCCTCAGTTTTCCCATCTGTAAGATAAGGAAGCTAAATTAAATCATTTCCAAGTCAACAATTCTCACATCAAATGTGCATTAAATGCGCCTGAGCAACTTCTTTAAAATTCAAAATCGTTGGTCATTACCCCAGAGAGATTTGGCCCAGAAATCAGCAGTTTTAATGAGCACCCCTGGTAATTCTCAAGCAGGGAAGTGGAGGACCCCACTGAGATGTTCATTGCAAGTTCTTAGCCAACCTCGATATGCTGAGTCTTCTTCTGAAACGTACTACAGATAAATTCTTAAAGAAGGAGGAAGAGATGGAGGAAGAAAAAGAGTGAGAGAGAACCTTATGGTCTCTGTGAAAAGTGGTCTGAAGGATAAGCGCTGTGAACTGTTGGCATTGACCTTTTTCTACCCTGAGCTCCCAAGCACTTCATTTTTGCCACACAGTTGGGAGGCATAATCACAGGCTGCCTTCATATTACCTAACTGTTCCCCATGAATGAATGAATGTTTCAAGTGTGAGCCCACTAGCAGCAGGGTCCACTTTGACTTACAGGACATTTTTAGCAGCTCCTGCTCACTGCCAAGTGAGCCCCCAAAGACATCATGAGGTACCAGTACAAGTGAGGCAGGACCATCAGCTTTGAGTCCTGCAAGAGTGAAGCTTTTCTTTTTCCCCCCAGTGGGAACATGCCTGTGTGCCTCCCTCAACACCCAGATGTAATAACTTTCAAAGACCTGCTCCCTTCATTATGGATCTGAGAGGGAGATGAAGAGAGGCTTAATTTCCCTTGATGAAGTCTTCTTATTGCTAGTTTAGGGTCATGGGCATGACTGGGCATTTTTTAGCATTTAAATCAGGGACTGCTTCGTACAGGAAGTTGAGATAGCACTAGTGGCTAAAACTTGTGCCAGGCAACGTAGGTTCTAAATTATTTACCTGCACAAATTCAGTTAAACCTCTCAACAAACCTTTGAGAGAGGTGTTATGATTGTATCCGTTTTCCAGAAACTGATGAACAAAGAGATTAAACAACTTGTTGAGGGTCACACATCTCTTAAACAGGAGACCCAGATTCCAGGCAGGACAGTCTGACTCAGCCGCCAAAGTTCTAAACCACTTGGCTCGCCTGCCTCTCGTATGTTTTAAGAAGTCTCAGCTCTCCCTCGGCTGTGGCCTGCAGCCCCAACGAGCTCCTTAGCCATCCCTTTTCCAAAGTTTCCATTTGCCTCTTTGATCTGCAGGAGGGCAGTGCAGAGGAAAGCCAAGCAAAGAGGAGTAAATACTCTGGGGAATAACAGAGGGCAACCCTGATGCCCCCCTTCATGGAAAACATTCAGAAATCTGGAGAAAGCAGATAGCTTGGTGGGCAGAGAAAATGCAGGAATGGCTCAGCAGTGATGACCAGACCCTTTTGGGCCCTGCCACAAACATGCACATGATTGCATGAGAAGCTGGAACAACTGCAAGGCCCTCCCCACCGGGCCCAGGACATTTGAAGACAAAGGTCTAGTGCATTTGCCTTTGAGGGCTGTACTTTTTTTCTTTCTCTTTTTTTTTGCCCGAGTAAGTATGCTCCTCTTATTCTTCAGGTGATTAATGAGAGACAGATAAAACGCCTTGTGCATATAGTTTCCTCCTGCAGGAGGTGAGCGAATGGGAGAGATTCACTGTCATGTGGAGTCACTGCCTGGATTTGAAACAAACACACCTACAAAGATACACAGGTTGTAGACCCAGTAAATAATCAGCTGACTGGCACTTCTCAAACCAATTTCTGCCACGGATGCGTTCTCCTGATTTCTTCTCCTCTTCATTTTTCACTGCTTTGGAGCTGTCCTGAGCAGCAGCCTACCCATTGTCTCCATTAAAATGCAAAGCTCTCCTCCCTCTGCTACCTTCAGAGTCCCGGGAGCCAGGCTCCGTACAGAGGGAAGAAATGAGGGCAGGGCTAAAGAGGAACATACAAAAAATAAATGAGCCATTCATAAAAATGAATATTATCACCAAAAGGAGCCGTCTGCCAACATCTCCATGTATATATTAACTCAGCTGCTGAGCTCTGTAACAACACAGAATTAAGCCAATACATCATCTTTTTAGTGGTTGCTCAGTTGATCTACTATTAACTTTAAACAACCAATTGTGAAATGAGCGCTTCGCTTTGCCATAATGATGATGAGGCTTCGCCTGGTACTATTTTTTATAATGTAAGCTTGAATATTGGTAAAAATAAATTCAGCTGTGCATAGTACACTCTCAAGAGCTCTCCAAAGCGAGCAGATATTCAGGCTGGGCGGTGGGTGGGGGTGGGGAACTGCTGAGCTCAACCGGTTTCATGAAATCATTTGCACAGATTCTGAACACTGACTATTTTTCTTTCACTTAGCATATCTTTCCCTGAAAGTCTAAAATGCCAAGATGTTGGGCTTTTTGCTGTCTGCATGAGCAATTACAGATGGCTTCTTCACTGAAAGACATACACACTGGATGCCTGCCTTTTCCTCTGAAGCCTGCAAGTCTATCTAGGTGACAGTGTGAACGAAGCCCACGGAGAGCCTGCATGTTGACAGCACTTGTTTCAGGGACATTCTGAGCACCTGTTTCTCATTTCTAGCTTGGTGTGTTGCTGGGGCACAGGAGTCTTTTTTGTTCTTCCCCCAAAAGACAATACCAACTGGTATTGTTCTCTGGCCCCTTGTGTAAGTTGTGACTCTGAAGAAAAGTGACTGATTTCTACACGTGGCTTGTGGAATCGGTGTCATTGCTCAGCAGCCATACCTCATAAATCTCTCCAGGCTACAAGCTTCTGTCGGTCCCCAGCGGTTCCGAGAACAATCCGCAGCAAACACTGACAGGAAGGGCCATTATGGTGGCTGATGTTCTCACCATCTGGAATGGTTACAGTTGTCAGGATCTGCGATGACTCACTGTGCTGGGGAATCATTTCTCTAATGGCAGCACTAATCAGGAGGGATGAAGCCGTTGCTAAGTGCTGCTGCATGAAGAAAACACTCTGCCAGATGAAAAGCAAGGGCTGTTGATTTGTTTTTGCCTGTTTGAAAATCGAGTGGCTTGGAATGTCACCCTTGGTTCCATCTAATATCAGGCCATTGTTCATGTTAAGAGCCGGCATCTCAGACCAGCCTTGAGAAGTGCTGGCTGTTTCCACGGAGAGAGGACCTGTGCCTTCCTCTCTGTGGCCAGCTGTGCCCTGAGGAGGCTGGGCAGTTCTCTGATCCCGGCTTAGCAGTTTGGTGTGGAGAAGGCGGCACAAACAGATATGGATATGGTTTTATAAGCAGCCTCCTCCCTCTGGCATTAGCTCTGGAGCTATCCCATGTAAACCCTAACCCCACCACAGGCTCCCCACTACTGTCACAGCTGACCCCCGTGGAAGTTCCCGTCAGCAGCTGGCTCCTCCGAGGGGGTCACCAGTTCATCCTGAACCTTAACTGTTGCCTCCAGAGGGAACCAACTCAGACAAACCCTTGATTTTGGACTCCCAGCCTTCAGAACTGTGAGAGAATAAATTTCTTTTGTTTTCTGCCTCTCAATCTGTGGCAGTTTGTTACAGCAGCCCTAGGAAATTTACTTAGTGGGAGACCAGAAGACTTCATGTGTCATAGGAAGACTCCAGACAAGAGCCAGTTTCCTTATGACTAAAGGTTTTTATCAGCTCTTTCGTGAGTCGCCACACTTAATATCCATGGTTTCTGTGCTGACAGTCACTATATTGTAAAACATAGGTTTTCATTTCATGGAATGATCAATTTATTTGAATCCACTGCTTTTGTTACCATCAAGGAGGCCTGAGTCCAAGCTGAAAGCTCAGTTACCTTTACCCCTCTGGGCAGAAACAAGGATGCCGTGATGGTTCCTGTGGAGGTGACAGATCAGGGTGTCCTTTTTAAGCATTTTACATTCATTGAAACAGTGGCCATGGTGTCTTTGTCTCTGATCTTTCCATCCTTCCTTTTCTCCTTGCCCTTGCTTGTACAGCTGCTCACCCTCTCACCAGTGGTCCAGGCATCGTGTTTTAAGAAAATCCAACAGCATCCTTAATCTTAAAATAAAAGCTAACGCTTGTATAGCATTTACATGTTACCCAATGAACTTGCTTAATCCTCATGAGCAATCTGTTACTTTCTCCCTTTCTTTGTTTTTGATTTTTTTATTGAATATAGTTGATATACAACTCTTTTTTGATTTTTTTAAATTGAAGTGTAGTTAATATACAGTTGGCTTCAAGTATACAGCATAGTGATTTGACAGTCATCTACATTATTATATGCTCACCCAAACTAGTATAGTTACTATTTGTCAACACAGAAACATTTTACAGAACTATTGACTATATTTGCTATATTGTACTTTCATCCATGTGACTATTTTACACTGTGATTGAGATCTGGTGTCTCTTTATCCCCTTCCCCTATTTCACCCACCCACCTGTCATCTGCTTCCCATTGTTCACATCCCTTTGCGACTGTTCCACTCAAGACTATTGCATTCCCCACCATGTCACAACTGCTGGACAAAGACTCAGAACCCTCCCTTCAATTCCTCACAGCACTACCAGGCTGAGCTGAGGTGTTCCAGCAAGCCTAAAGGAAAATGCAGGGAGGAGCAACATGGGACATCCACTGGCCTCACCACCTTGCCCCCAGGCCATCTCTACCGGGCAGGCCATCTTATTCCCTTCCCCAGAGGAATGGGGTTGGAAAATTATGTCTAAAGCCTGGCCCAAGGGCAGGCTGAGGCCTTGAGGAGGGTTGCCCTTCCTGGCTGCCTGCCCCGCTTTCCCCCTTCAGCCTCCTGCTGAGGGCCAGCTTCCTTCCCCGGGGAATGACCACACACACACACACACACACACACACACACACACACACACACACACTCACACGCACCCCACCGTGGAATTTCTTCCCTCCATCCCCATGGGTGATCTCAACAGGACCCCATACCCTAACACAACATAGTAAACCTGGTATCACAGCCTGAGACCTCCAGGTCCAGGAGCCAAAGAAGGTAACACCCCTTCTGTCCTATCTCTGCAGTCAGGGGCCAGTTCAACATTGACTGCACTTGTCTTGTCCTGTGATTTGTCAACACGGACTTGATGCATTTTTATCTCTAGTAGCTCACTGCTGCTATCAAGAAGCCATTCCACCAAAGAAGGGAATAAGAAAAAAGGAACTGCATTTGCTGAGGAGTATAAGGCACATTTGTTTCTTGTGTTATGTACTCATCGTGAGGTGGAGGTGTGGTGGCCCCAGTGGGTTCATGGTGTTACCCAGCGGGCCCACACTTGGACAGGGAGCCTGACAGTAACACTGCAATACAAGGTAACACCTGGCTTCCGGGAAGCTCTGCTGAGCCCACATGCTTCATTTCATCTGGTGCCTACTGCCAATAACGTTAGGGATTTGCAGGCCCTGGCTTCTGATTTCTGCCTGTGCCAATGGCTCCCACAGTTAACCTAAGGCTAGGGTGTGGTGTGTGAGAACATTATTTTAAAGTTAGTGACTATTTCAGTGCTGGTCAAAGGCAGCACACACTGCAGAAGTGAAAGTGTCATTTTTGCTTTTGGGACAATCTGCAAGCATGCTTTCTTAAACCACTGCCTGATGAGTGGTGGTGGTGGTTGTTTTTTCCCTCTAGTAGAACCCAATTTTTGATTTTGAAGTAAACAAGTTGTATGCTATGTGCTGAAAATGAAATTACCTATTTTTTAAAACTGTTTCTGGTTCAAACCAGCAACTTGCTATAATGATTATGATAGTGTTTTAGGGCCAAGTTCTTCAAAAGACAAATAAGATAGTCCCAAATGTTGTTATGTTGAAATATTAAACATTAAAAGCTCAATTTAATTCAGTTCAGAGTCTGGGCTATTATGAAAGTAATTGAGTCAAGTCTAGGGCAGCCTCCCGGAGAATCTAGAAAGATGCCTAGAAAATGAAGATTATTGATTTTTTTTTGAGTTAGGGAGCAGGAAGGAAACAGTGCTTCAACTTCTTATCTGAAAGATGAGGGGGACAAAGAGATTTGTGGTTAACTTTGGACAAATGTATCAGCCCCAAGAAGGGACACTTTTTAACTTGGTAAAGTGTTCACATGTGGCCTCTGAGCTGCCCATGCTGTATGCAGAACCACAGCTTATTTCTAGTGGTTAACCTGACCTGAATGCATGTCACAGTGAACCAGACAAGGGCCTCTTCGTCATTTTTAACACTTCCTTTGCACTTAGCTGCCATCCAGCTCACTTCGGGCTGGAGATATTTCACATTTTTTGTCATGTTTTTTAAACCTCAGGCTGACTGGTTGCATTAGCCACAGCGGCCACACTCCCACTCCCTCTTGCCAGTGATGGGAAGGTCTAGCATTTACTCACAGCATCCATTCTTGTTTGCTTACTTTCTCTCTTTGTTTCTGTTTTGTTTTATTGCTAATTAAATTGCTCTCTCCCTTCTGACTGGCTTTGTTTTGGCCTATCTACTAAGCTAAGAACCAGCAGGGCTGAATTTCAAGCTTACTTACTTATTTACTTATTTATTTTTGTGCTACTCAGGAATTTTATTTTCTTATTTTTTATTTTTTGAGTTTAAAGTTTAATCCTGCTATGATAAAGTGGTTTGAACACAGAGTTGTCATTTAAATGTCTCTGTATTCATTTCCTCATTTGTAATATGGAATTTATGAACCAAAGAATTTTTAATCTGATTAGCCCTTAGATGCTTTTTAGCATAGCAAAATACTTTCTCTCTCCCCTTTTTTTTTGCAGGTAAAGAAATTGAAGATCAGGGAAGTTATATGAATTGCCTGAAACTGCCACCTCACAGGATTGAGAATAAAAATGAGGTAATTAGCAAAGGGCATTATAATAACTTACTTAATACTCTAAATTCATTGTTGTCTTCAGCAAACTATTAAGGTAGATGCAGCCTCTTATATCATTTTGCCTTTCAGCCTCTGAGCACCATTTAAATTTGTAGCCATTGTTTGCCAGAGAGACTGGTAGGTAATACAACCATAGCATGTCTAGTGTGGCTTTTGACATTTCACTTAAGGATAGCTGTGTTCATATATGTTAGGAATTATACTACAAGAAGTATGGGTAATTAAACACCTTTGAGAAGTATGAAGTTTGTATGCTGCTAGCTTCTCAAACTCAGTCTTTTACTAGTACTACTGAATCTTGAACATAAGGTTAACATGTAATGAGACAGTGTCTGCAGGAAAATGGACAAGATGTTGGCAGTTTAGAAGATAATCTCCAGCTATGAAAACCATGCTCTTCTCTTCCTTGCTAAAAGCTCCACCATTTGGAAGGCAACTCAATATGAAACAAAGTTAACTTGGAAAGAGCATGTGAATGACATGTGATTAATTTTCAGTATCTTCATTTCAGAATACTTTGGCTAGTTTAGTTTAAAATGTTGGCTTAAATTCTTAAAGCAGACCAAGAGCCACACTTTAGTTCAGGGCTATAAACAAACGTCCCAGGGCCAGGGGCTCATGGTAGACCTTAGACTAATAGCATTAGAGTCCCTGGAAACTTTTTTAAAATGAACATCTTTCAGGTCCTAGCACTAGATGTTGAATCAGTTGAAGTGGAATGGGGCCTGAGCATACAGATTATTTTAAATTTCCAGGTATCTGTCAGTATCTACTGGTGGGATGCATTGGCCATATGCCTAAGCACTCTTTGAGAGATACTCAGTTATTTCAGGCCTAAAGTGGAGAGGGTTTATAGCAAAATTTTGGTGAAAGTCAGAAACCTGGAAGGGAGTAGATGGCACACTCAAGCTGGGTAATTTGAAGAAAGATGACTAAAGAGAAGAATTCAAAGGCATGGGTAGATGTAGGAAACCCACAGGGGATGGTGCAGTACTGCAGGAGTAGCAACAGTAGGGAGCTACTACCACACTAAGTCTAAAGGGCTAAGGAGAGGGGATGATTATTAGAACAAACAGAGGGTAGCCACATGGAAAGGGCCACCTGACAAGATTTATGGCCTTGTAAAAGGATGTAGCCATTGTATGCCAATGTTCACAGAAGCATTATTCACAATAACCGAAAAATGGTAACAACCCAAATATGTATCAACAGATGAATGGATAAACAAAATGCAGGATATATGTACAATAGTATATTAGTCAGCATTAAAAAGGAAGGAAATTCAGACATGTTACAGCATGGATGAACTTGCAGACATTATGCTAAGTAAAACAAGCCAGACACAGAAAGACAAATTTGGTATGATTCCCCTCATATGAGGCCCCTGGAATAGGCAAATTCATAGAAGCAGAAAGCGGAATAAAGATTACCAAGGGTAGGGGAGGAAGTAATGAAGAGTTATTCTTTATGGGTATAGATATATAGAATTTCTATTGGGATGATAAAAAGTTCTTGAAATGGACTAGTAGTGATGGTTGCACAATACTGTAAATGCACTTAACACCACTGAATTGCACACTTTAAAGTGATTAAAATGGTAAATGTTATGTATATTTCACCATAATGAAGAAAAATGCAGATAAGAACAAAAAACCAGATGCAGCCAACCCACAGCAATTCTTCAGGGAGCAGGTCCAACTGCTTTGTTCTTCCACCCTCCAATCTTTGTTTTGGCCAGAGTCTGTCATTGGTTGAACCCAACTGGAATGCCCAGAGCAAGGCAGCACATTGATGTAGTTCATGAAGACCAGCCATGCAGGGCACAGAACAGTGTGGGAGAAGAGAAGATCTGAAAGGACATAAGGAAGCTGAACAGCATCATTCAATCATCTGTTCTCTGGAGGAAGCCTCAAACCTACCACAACAACATCACATCAGTGCTGGAATGAGAAAAGCTGGTGGAAGGTATTTTTTTCCTTATGCAGAAACAGCCTTACACAACCAGTAAACACAGCAGTGTGTTTTCCAGTTAACCTAGGAAATCTTTGTTTAAATGCCATGATGTTCGGTTACATCTTTTGATCTAGAAATCCTACTTATAGGAATCTACCTTAAGGAGATAATCAGAAATGGAGACTAAAAATTATTTACAAGGAGATTCACTGAAACATGACTATAATCACAGAAAAGAAGCAAGCAAACATCTCACCTATAATGCTAAGTGAGAAGGTAGGCTGCAAACTGCTTATATGCCATTTGTGTAAGAGGCTGAAAAGTACACTAAAACATTAGAGTGGTGATCTTTGAATGACTAAAGTAAGAATGATTTTTTTTTATTTTCAAGCCTTCTTATTTTTCAACATTTCTGTGTTAAACATGATTTACTTTGATAATTAAGAAAAAACAACACGTTATTTTTTTAAAACCTCATGTCTGCTTTACAGATAAATATTCCCACTGTTAAGACCTACAGAATTTTCCCTGCCATCCTGCATAAAAGGCATTGATTACCTGCTGGCTGCCTATGAATTTGAAGGAAAGCAGTCAGGGCTGGGCAGCCACCTCCTCCTAAATAGACAGCGTGTGTGGCTGAGGGTGCAGCTTCCTTTGATGAAATATTGCTAAACGATGAAATTCTATCTCCTGTAAGAAATTATTTCTGCTGGCTGTGCAAACGTCAGGCTGGAGCCTGCCCTTAGAGAGGCGGCTGCATTACTATGTATTTATAAAATCAGCAGAGCCTATCTATGCATGAATGGTCACAGTGGTTGATTTTACAAGCTACTCACGATGGGCATCGGCACAGAGAAAACTAAGGCTCAAAGTAGGTTTAACCTATTGTGATTCCTTCTTAGTTCATATTTTGCCATTTTGGAAGGGTGTTGTTTTACCCAAGAGAAAATGCTTTGTGTAAAATGATTTCATAGACCTATGAAGCTACAATATCTTAACCTAAACTTGGCCCAGTCTAGCCTACCTTTTATACTTTATTTTACCACTTCTCCCCCTTGCACACTCATACTCTGGAACAGCGACCTACTCCTTAGTCATGCCAGGTGTGTGCAGGATGGATGTTACCAGAAGGAACTCAGTGCTGCTTGGGAGTGATGGCTTTGGAAGGCCCACTCCATGCATGTTTGGGGCAGTTTCCCCCAAGACTTCAGGGTCCTCCCCAGGGACGGGACACCTACACAGGTCAGTGGCTCTGTTGGGTCTGCTCAGGGCTGGGCCTCTACACTTAAGGCTGCCTATTAGTGACAAGGCCAAGCCAGTGTTTGGTGGCACCTGTCTGTTGCTAGCTTGACACCAAGTCATTGCACAGAATTAGTAGACAGTAGGAGTTTTTAACCCACAAAGACCGTGCCTTCTTCACACTGAAACTTGGTGAAGTTGCCAAATCTTTCATCCTGCCTGCCTTCCCTCCTATATCATTTGCTGTCAACTCTACCTTTCAAATCATCTTCTGCAGTTGTGATATTTTAACTGGGGAAATGAATTTTGATGTCAGTGAAATCAATAAAACATTACAAAAAGGTACAAGAGCTCTTTAAATCTGTTAATTAGAGTATGAAAATGAACCATTGAGAGAAATCATTCTTAGCCAACTAGGGTAGACACAGCAAAAAACTTGCGAAGCTTTTTCTACATGCTGCTTGGGTCACATCCCAAAATATTCTGACCTAACAGGCCTTGGGTGAAGAATGCACATCTGTATATTGAAAATACTCCATTTAAGAGTAATTGTATTAGAAAAATTACCAGAAGAAAGGAGGCAATTTTAACAGCACTTATTCTTACTTGAGTATCTTTTGAAGGACGGTATACTTTTTTCTTTTATTCTTGATTGCATCCAGGCAAGAAGATGTTTGTTTACCCGCTTCTTATTCTTGCCCCAGACTACTGATATAAGATCTGGATGAGATCCAGAAATATTGAATACCAAGTAAGACTGATTTTAAAGGTATGAAAACCACAGCCACCTTAACATAAAGCAGAAGGATTATCCTCCTATATTAATAGCATCTTTCATAACTGAGCAGCTCAGCTACCCCACAATTTTCCAAGTTATGGCTGAAAGCTCCCTGATCTCATGCCAGAGCAAGAGGGAATTCATACTTCTTCATGACTCTCATGGCATTATTTCTTGAAAGAAATTAAGTATGAGCATAAATAAATTGACCAAATGTACCAAAGATGAAGGCGGACATTTCTAAAGATGCCCAGGGATGCAGAACACAATACTGTGTTTGCATTTGACTCTAGGTATGATGCATCTATTCACACAGAGGAAGACAGATTTTTTAAAAAATTACTACTGGGCAAAAAGTGAACTCTTTCTTTTTTTTTCTCTTCTTTTCCACATAAATGTATCACACTGTTGAAATGAACAAAACATGTCAGGGAAAACCAGAGAGAGAGGTAAGGCTGCCTAGAATTTCTATGCATGTGACCGGAGTTCTGAAAAAGTTGTTAAACTACCATGCCAGGTAGTAAACATTCAGTTAACACAAAGGAAAGTGTTGCAATCAAAGAATCATTTCTTTATTAACTTAAAAATACAGAGTGGTAATTGTATGTTACTATTACTTCATGGCCAATTATTCCATCTGTCTGGTTTGAGCCCTCAGAAAAGGTCTTGATAGCGTCTGCTGTGAAGGAAAGGACACAGATTCATTTTCAAGCAGCAGCGCTTTACCCAAACAATGACTCTTTGTGGGCAATCTGCAAATACAAAGTGATCCATACAGAAGAAGTTGGGGACTTACATTCCCAGAAAAAGAGATATTGCCAACCTGAATGAACCTTTTAAAATTTCTCAGGTGGTTTAGGATTTCTGTCTCCTATCTTACTAAGGATAGGCTAGAAGGACAGACTTCCAAACAATATCTGGGATGAAATGATAGTAATAGCTGGACAAGAAATTCCTTTGAAGATGAAACTAATTGAGATTAATTCATGAACAGAACTACCCTGCAGCTCCCGATTCTGAGGACTTCCTGCTAAGCATGCCACTGTTATCTGGGAGTTTTTGTTTAAAGCTCTTCAGCATCTGCCCTAGATCTTTCCAGAGAAAAGATCGCTAAGGCAGGAGCAGAATGATCACATCATTCACACTTGAACTCAATGCGATGAGCACATTTGTTTGTCTTCATGAAGTGCAATGTAGCAGCGCTAACCAACATGTAGAGGCAGCGTGCTGGAGCAGGGCCAGGGAGCCAGGAACTGGCCCGGAGAGCTGGGCTTTGCTGCTGTCTGCCAGTGACAAACTGCAGCGTGGGGAAATGATTGCTTCTTTGAGATCTCAGGTGACTTGTCAGTAAGAAGAGATATTTTAGGTAGAAGTCTTTCAGAAGCCCCGGGGATCCCAGGATTCCCCAAGGGCACCTCAGGGTTCGGCCCCATCTCCTATGCCTTGAGCTGTGTGAATCTCGGACAAGTTTCTTGACTTCTCTATGCCTTAGTTTCCTCATCTGTAACATGAGTGCTATAAGAATACTTGCCTCATAGGATTCTTGTGAGGAAAAGATGCGACAACGTATACAAAGCCCTCAGAACAGTGCCTGGCACATAAACAAGTGTTTCTTATTATTATTGGCCACAGCTAGCAGCAAGCTCCTGGGCCAGCATCATTAATTAAGCCACAAAGGCCATACAGAAGAGCTCACTCATTCCATGTAAAGGTGCCTGCGAGCATAATTGGATTTGCTGAAAGTGCCCTTTTAAATGGTACTGTTGCTTTCTGATTCACATTTGGGAAGAAAAGCAGAACAGAAGGTGATAAATTCCTTTATGGGAGAGCTTGGCAGGAAAGGCAGATGCGACTGTAAAGTTAATTGGTGAATGGGAGGTGGAACTCCTGGGCAAAGACAGGCTGACGGTATGAACACGTTCTCCCTCTCCTGCTCTGGTTTATGGTGATTAATTCATTAGGGATTCTGCAAGGCCATTCGTGGGTGGCTGCTGGTCCTGTCTTTGCCCAGACAGGGATGATGTCAGCATATAGTTTATGGAGTTCTGCAACCCTCCTGAGGATTCAAGCTTATAGAGCATCTCCAGGCTGCTGGCCAGCACTCTGAAAACTGAATCCTACTTGAATATTGTGTATCCCAACCTGCTTCTCTCTGTTATGATTTTGGTGGTGGATGCTGTGCAAGCACTGGGGAATGACTTCCTTACACGCTGGCTTGAATCTAAGAATTCAGCCCCATTTCTCAACCTTTTCTTTAATTCATAAAGGACGTTGAGTGAGATATCACACCAGGGACATACCAGGTTTAAGATGGTTGAAATGGTAAAATACACCTTTTTTATGTACCACTAAGAAAGAAAGAAATACCTGCTAATTAAACTCTACCGCAAGCTTCTTTAAAAAATCAGTTTGAAAATTCTCCTTCATACTTGGACACAGATTTTTAAAAATCACATATCTTGTGCATGCATTAAAAAGAAAATATCAGGTTAGGGTATCCCTAAAATGTTTATGCATGCAGTCTGAGCCTTCTGAATCACTTTTTAACCCTCAGTCAGTAGTATCTGTTTCTTCACATAATAGCATCCTTTATGCCGTCAGGAGCTATGGGTATGTAGGATGTCAAGGTCAAGTCATAATGTAAATTTCTGAAGACATTGTAAATGGCCTGGGGACTCAGCTCAGGTGGTGCCCTTCATGCACATGTGTAAATCGAAAGCCCCCATGGACCACTACAGCAGGTGGAAGAACGACAGTACCTTCAGGGCTGCCACCAGGCCAGCAGCAAGTGTAAGATGCATCCTATCTGAGGCAACAATGTGGAAAAAACCGTGCCCCTTAGTATCTATGAAATTGATCATAAGAGTCTACATTTGTTTCTTTAAGAGAATGGGTTTAATTCTCAGGAAACTTTTCAAAGATTATTGGAGAACTGCATCTCATCGTATCCATGGGAAGATACTCGGATTTTTTGGCTTTTCCTTAGAACCTGACAATCCCTCCAGTCAGGCATGCAGGAGCACCAGACAGTGCCAGTGAGGAGAGCCAGCTTTGGGCGAGGACAGCTGCTCCTGTGGGGTTTTACATTCGCCCAAAGTGTCCTCCCCTAAAATAAGAGTCATTTATTTGTGTGATGGCATTGTTATTTGCTGTTAAAATACAAATACCCTTAAAAGGTCACTCAGTGTTCCTTAATCCTAATGAATGATTTCTCTTTTAGAGTGTATTTTGCCAGAGGTTTATTTAAAGGAGCCAGGCTTTCAAAAAGAACAATCTCTGAAAGTTTCAATAGCATAAAGCTTAAATCACAAAAAGCCATGTATGGCATGATTCTATTCACATAAAATGCCCAGACTAGGTAGATGTATAGAGATAGAAAGTAGATTAGTAGCTGCCAGGGGCTGAAGGGAGGGGGAGTGGCAGTGACTGGTACGGGGATGAGGTTGCTTTTTGGAGAGACGAAACTGTTCTAAGATTAGACTGTTGTGATCATTGCACAACCCTGTGAATATACGAAAAATATTGACGTGTATGCTTTAAATGAGCAAATTGGGTAGCATGTGTATTATATCTCAACAAAGGAGTTTTTAGAAAACTAAGAATGTGTGGTGTATGTATTGAGAAACCTAAACAGAAGTTCTTTCATGCTTACCCCAGTGATATTTATTTACTAAAAACTTACAATTACTTTGTTCAAAGAATTCAACAGACTCAACAAAGCAAGATGCTAGGGGCTATGGCAAAAGAGTTGATCCCTCCTTTGAGGAACACACAATCCTGGAGAGCAGGAAAGAGAGGCATGTATGTGAATAACTGGAGGACAGAGGAAATGTTCTGAGAGGCTGTGAGGATGTTTCCCAGTGAACTCAGGATATGATGTGGCCTTGGAGGCACTGGATTTTGGTAGGTAGGCATTGGGGCAAGGGAGAAGGGATATAAGTGGAATAAATATCTTGAATCACTTGCAAGCTGAGAGAAGCTTTCTTGGAAAGCGTGCCCAGTCCAGGTGAGTTTATGGGGCCACGCCACTGAGGGCAGAGTTTAGGAACTGATGAGCCACAGAGAGTGAGGGCAGGTGGAGTCCAGCCAGACAAGGCTCTGGATCTGACGTGGGGAGTGTTAGCAGGACTAGGCCATGAAGCGATGCGGAAGGACCAGGAGACTTGGACAGGGCCTCTCAGCTTGTTGCTCTCATCCAGTTTTCCTAGTTCTCAGCTCAGGTATCGCTCCTCAAGAATGGATGTCACAAAGCGTTCTGTGCCATCCCAGCCACAGCCGCCAGTGGTCTTGGGAGACAGCGGCCTGGTGGGCAAAACAGTCTTTGGAAGGATGAAAGGTAAAAGTCAGAGAGATGATAAAGTAAGAACCTACATTTAGTCCTTTTCCTTATTTCTTCAACCTCTCACTATAGGATCAGAATCACTCATAGTCCATAGTGTAGAATAAAGTCACCTTTGCAGGAATGAACTCCTCACTCCTGCTCTCCAAGGGATGCTGCTGACCAGGTCTGCCCACTCAGGAAACGCAAGTGCCATCTGCAGTTGGATTCATGGACAACAGCTTTCTTTCTGTAATGAAGCTCCTAGATTATTAAAAAGATTTAGGTCTTCATTAATAAGTTGAGATTGATTGAATCCATAGCCTGGCAACTAACAATAGAGAGTTAACCAAATAGTTAACCCAATCAAAATGTACTACACATGGTAAAACATGCAGAACATGTTAACTTTTCTACCCTCCTCACAGAGCATTTTAATGGGATCCTTAGCCAGACCTGAGGGTCACTGTGTCTGTGCTGGTCTATCAGGATCTTCTCTTTTTCTTTCCCTGGATATTTTCAGTAAGTCATCCCCTGCTATTCCTCATGCTGTTTCTCATCCATGCTTGTTGTCATCAAAATGGTTATTTTCTTCCACAAAGGCTTTGCATTAATTTTCTTTCTCAATCTGCAGTTACCCAAAATGCTCTCCTTAAGAACAGAATTTTCATCAACTGTGTTTCTGCTGTTACGGGCCAGTTAATATACGCATGCAGAGCAGAAGGCAAGGGTTTCCTCAGCACACGCACTGTGACCACCTGTTGTCCAGGAAATTCTTCCTCCGCCTCCTCTCTCTCAGTGGCTTCTTTGCTCTGTGTTGGACTGTCCCTGTAAGCTCTCAGACAAGTAGAGAGGGTGTTTATAACTTCCAGTTTTAGTACCACCTTTAAAAAAAATCCATCCCACTGGGAAGTCATTGGCTGATATAAACAACCTGGTTTTGTTGTTCAGCCTTCTCTGTGCATGCTCTGCTCAGCTTTTGTTCTTAGTACAGGCATCTTGGCTCCCTGGGGTGGTAGCCTTACATGCACATGTCCATGCAGGCACAAAAGCCACTTCTGCTGAGGGGATTATTCCATTTAAAGGAAAAACTGACAGGCCCTGGGAAGGCCCACTTGACATCTCAGTCCAGCTCTCCTTAGCTCTGATTTTGCATCTGAACTACTTTACTTGATCAATAGATACATGCTAATGCTAAGCATAGACACCTAATTAATTCAAGCTAGTCCATCTCTACCATCATGGTGGGTAATCAAAACTTTGTACACTTATTAAAAAGCATAAAATTAAGTTGCTTTCTATATTCAATAGGGCTATTTTTCTATCTATAATGTCACTCACTGAAGACTCTTTCCTTCAAAATATGTGAGACTAGCTAATGCATACTATGTTTTAAACTTCTTACCAAATTAAGAAAATGAAAGGAATTCAAACTAGATGTGTTTTAAAAAATGCACACTCTCCATAAACCAGAGAAGGATCCCAGACTCTGAGAGAATCCTGGATGTTTGAACAAAAATTTATCTGACCTAGTTTCATAAAACCCTCTTGTCACTCATTTTGTCAGATCAAATGAATTCTTTATTGTAAGAACAGTCTTGGCTAACACCATTATTGACATGATCTCTTTCTATTAACAACAGTAAAGTTCTGAATTCTTAAAGATGGTCATGTTCTGTGACTCTTCTGTAATTATTCCCACCAGCATCTTCAATCTTTAGTTAAACATTCCCCCAAAATATACAAATTAACACCTCTCTTGTGGAGAGCAGTTGTTACTTAAAGTTATTTTATTGGTTTATAGTCTCAAATGATTATAAATCTAGTGACTTCCAAGTAAAGGAAAGGTTTTTAAATTCTTCAAAGTTTAAATAGTTGTCTCCTAAGTTTCAAGCCAGTTATCTTGTGTTCACATTTTGTAAATTATTTATTCAGCAAATTTTAATATACTGTTAACTAGTGAAAAGATAAGTGGCAGAAGCAGTTGATGGTCAGTAAACAGATGAAGAAAATATGCACAATTAAATATGTGACAAATGCTATAAATGAAAGGATGCAGTGGGATATTAACGGTGTGTGTGCATGTGCATGTGTTCATGTGTGTGTGTATGTGTACCTGTGTGCAGTTAGGTAGAGGGAAACCCCTCAAAGGAAGACACATTGAAGCTGAAGCCTGAAGGAGGAACAGAAGGTAGGCAAGCAGAGGGAAGGGGAGGAGGGTCCCAGTCAGAAAAAATAGTAATTAAGAGTCTTGAAGCAGAAAAAACATTGGTACACTCAGAGAAAGGATTTCAGTGTGGATGAGATGAAAGAGCAGATGGACAAGGTGGCAAAAGGGGAAGCCGGATCATGAACGAAACGAACCAAGTTAAGATTTTATTGGGAGTATAATCCACGTACAGTTGTCAAACAGTTGTGTGTCACAGTACAATTTGCATTTAAAAAAAATCACTCTGGCTGTCTTTTGCAGGAAGCAAGAATGGGAAGAGAAGTCAGGCCATGACTGCAGTGATCCAGGAAACAGTGGAGTATGGCTCGCAGCTGGAGAGGAAATGCTGAAGATGAGAAATATTGAGGAAGTAGAAATGGCAGGATTCACTGAAAGTGAGAGAAAAGAGGGAGGAGGGAGGAATGAAGTATGATAGAGTCTTTTAGATTTAGCAACGGGAGAGAGGATGGTACTACTCAGTGAGATGGAGGAAACCTGGAGAGGGAATTCTCAGGTGGGCATCGGGTTGGATCAAGAGCTTTATTTTGGAGATACTGAGTTTGAGGTACCTGTTAGAAAAGTTATGAAATTTTAACGATGGTCATATTCTGACACTCTTCAATGAGTATTTCCACCAGTCTCTTCAATCTTCACTTGGGGTAAATGGCAAGGAGACAGTTTGACAAGTAAGGTGAATATATGAACTAAATGGAGGGCTTGGGGGAATATTTAAAACCATGGGAATAGATGAACTGCCCTAGAGAGGATATTGTAAGAGAAGAAATTGTGGCTCCAGACTAAACCCTGGACAACTCTAACTTTTAAAGGCTGTGCTACGGAGGAGAAATCAGCAAAGCCTGAGAATGAGTGGCTGAAGAAGTAGGTGTCCACCAGCAGAATGTGAAGTCAGGAAAGCAGACAGGTGAGTGTTAAAGAACGCGGAGATGGTCATTCATTTCAAGAGGAAAAATTTCAATCGAGTGATAGAAGCTGAAGCCAGATGGAAACTTGGGAGAACCCCAAGGTCATGGTGGTTTTAAAGGCTCTGTTTAGTCCAGCTGTGTATAAAGTTTAGTTTACAAACTAATATCCCTCTGACAGCATGGATCCAAAAGTCAAGCAAAATGTCAAATGTCCTGCAAAATCCCTCATTCCTGGGAGGAAAGAGGAATAAAAGAATTTATGCAGAACTGGTAACATAAAGGATTTGGCAGAGTAATAGAGTACATTTCAGTAAACAGATCAAAGAACAAGTTTTTGTTCAAGTGGGTGGATTTGTTTACTGTTAAGTATTTCTGCATAAAATGTATGTACACTGTGAGTACAACTATATTTGAACCATGCATGTGGGAGGTAACACAGAGAAGTGAAGTTCTGCTAGACTTATGATATTTACGTGGTTTTCAAAAATTATAATGTTTATATTAATGCTATACTCTTTTGAAAATAATGAGAAAAATTTATTTACACTGAAATCTTTCTCTGAGTGTACCAATGTTTTTTCTGCTTCAAAGAAAGAAAGAAAGAAAGAAACCCAGGTGTCTGTAGTTTCTGCTCAACAGGTATACATTTTTGTAGATGAGAATTCGCAGAGCAGATAAGTGTGAAATTACCCCAGGCCACATAGTGAGGTGGGGCCAATATTAGGGCTTCCTCATTAGTGTGTATAATTCTTTTTATATCGACTAATTTTAATCTTTTTCTATAGAACAAAATTCTGTATAATTCTGTTTTTATACAATTAGACAATAATCAATGCCCATAACTCTAGTATCTATTTCTCCTCTTACTCACTTTTTCTCTGTGACAAGGTCAGAGATGGCTGTCAAAGCAACCATTATTTATCTGCATAATTTCCCACTTCCAATTTCACACCTAAACATGATTCCTTAGGTTTGTTTCTCTACGTGGTGGACCACCATGGCTTCCCCGTCAGCTGTTCAAGCCCCAGCTGTACTGGCTGCAGGAGGAAATCAAAGGGGGCAGTTGCCTTAATGTTATCAGCTAATACTTTGTTACTTAATTATTGGCACCTTCCCACCATGAGCCAGCAGAAAAAACCTCAGTTCCTGAGGTCAAAGGACGGATTAAGCAATGGAAGAGAAGGGGCAGAAGGAATGTGGATCAGTCTCTGAACTCTCATCTCAGCCGGGTGCCTACTGAGATCAGTCTTAACATCAGTGTTTACTTAGTAAGCATTTATTAAGTGCTTTGGGCAGTTACTGTGTTTGTTGCTGGTCAGATTCTTAAATGCGCTTGCTATTTATGTTAATTATGAGAGACAAAACAGTATCACGGCATGTGTCCTTTTGAAATGCAAAGAACTCTGAGGAAAGTAATAAAAATGGCCACTGCTTTTGTAAAATCTGAAAAACTCAGACCATGCTCACCTGGGCCCCATTTAACACCTTTTGTACACTCTACCCACTCAATTAGAGGAAATTCACAAGATGAGAGGCATAGAGCTTTCAGAACAAAATATACTTCAACCACCCTTTCCATGCTCCAAGGTAGAAATTACTCATAGAACTATAGATGAACAAAATCTCATTCTTTTAACTTGAAAAACTGTTTACAATACTGTTTTTTTTTCCTATAGTCACATTGTAATTTCTTATTTCTCATTTTAAAATTTGTTTTACTAGAACCAGCTGCTTCTCCTCTCAGTCACTGTGACCTCCATTTATATTTGGAAGAATATAATCCAAGATCAGGCAGTAGTGATGTCATTTGAAAGGTTGGTTATTTATTTGCATTGAGGAAAGGCAAAATTTTTAAAAGGCACGTTCAAAATGTGTGTAAACATCTTTAAGGAGCCACTCCGTATGACATTACACATTCTATTTGGAATAACCTGATTTTAAAGCACCCCTTCCATGACAATTTTTAATGTTCTCTTTGCACAAAAGATTCTCTGAAGGATGGAGAGAAAAAACACTTGTTTTTTTTAAAAAGATAACAAGATGTTCTAAAAGGTTAGCATAAAGACAAAATGGCATAGGATCTAGAGACTTCGATTACTTTCTGAGCCCTGATTTCTTCTTCTATATAAAGGGGGCCATCTCTGAGAGTTATTGTAAGGTATGCAATAGATGGTAGCTATTTTTATTAGAAAACTGCATTTGGGATTGGTTGCAGATGTCTTTGTTTTGGGAGAATTGCATCCCAATTATGAAGATAATTCAAACCCAAAGGGTCATACATGTGTTTTTTCCTTTTTTTTTTTGATTCAGTGACAAATTTACATTCAGTATTCTAGTTTATAAAACAAGAGAGAAGGCTCAAAGCCTTTATGGAAAAAAGAAATCTCACTGAAGACTTCTTAAAGAACAATCATTGATTATCCCTCAGCAAATATTTACTGAAATATATACTAAGCACTGTGCTAGATGCTGGGGAGTGAGCTATACAGTTCTGATCTCACTGAACTTGGATCTGATGCAGGAGGCTGTGATTCGTCAAATAACCACAAATAGTTGATACAATCTATAGTAAAAGCTATGAAGGAAAACTCTGACTTTTTAAAAATCTTGGAGAATAAAATAGACGTTGGAAAATATACTTGGGAAATGTAATTTTGCTATTTTTCCATGTCAATCTCTTTCCTAATTGGTATTTACAATGTTAGTACTTGGGCTCACTTGCTTGTGTACGGTGTTATTTGTTAAGATAAACTGTACCACACATATCCTGAAATTTTCACAATTGGATTAAAACATGGAATCATTCAGCTGGCAAACTGATGAATGTCCCAAGTTGCAACTTCCTATCCTAGCCACGCACACGTTTTCAAGGGGTAAAAGTCCCTGGGCCGGAGGCCGGAGGTGGAGCTGGGGTTGGAGGCCTGAGGAAGGCAGGGACAAGGTTCCCAAAGCAGATGCTGAGTCCCGTAAGCCACCAAATCCCAATTCAGGACAAAAGGAGTGAGGCAGGCCAGAAGAACTAGGTCAGGGCACCCAGGAAAACAAGCGTCTGGGGGGGACTGTTTTTAAAGTTGTATTCATCTCTATTCAAAGAATTTATCAGAAGGCCTTCTCTGAGAAGTATTTATCAAACAGTAGCTCATGACCCATCTGTGGGTCACAAACTAAAGTTCGTGGGTACCCAATGACATTTATTTTTAATGAAATAGAAAAAATTAAAATATAAAATGTCTGTGTGCATGTGCAGTAGGGGTGAGGTTGACTGTGTTTCAGGGTGTAGGTGTGTACTAAGTGGCTCTGGAGCCCAGAACCTGTTCAGGGGTGGGAATTTCCTGAGGACTATCCTGTCTTTTACTTTTCTCAGGATTTGGTCCTTCTAAAGTTAAAATCCTCTCTCAAGAAGCTGGGCAAGGGCAGGGGCCACAGAGCAGAGCTCCTACCCAAGCTGAAGTTCAGGGACCAGTCAGAGCTAATGATGGTGGAGACCAAGAATAAGGGAGAGACCAAGGGCAGAGGTGTCACCTTCAATGGGAAGCAGGTGGATAGGCTGGAATTGTTGATATTTGGCTATTTTTTACCTGCAAAAATGGCCTTCTCATATGTTGACACTAATAGATGGGTTGGCCCAGTCTCGGACAGGTCTCCTGAGGATGCGGCCTCCTTTAGGATTTTACCTGTGAGTGGGAAAGGCACTGATAACAGAGACAGTTGCGGGTGGGATTAAACCAAAGGCTTACATCCCTGTTTTCTTTGCTGGGCTCTTTGCCCTTGCGCCGCTGCTCTGGCACCTGTCAGCTGTCTGTAACTGAAGCCGTCGTGTTTTAAACAAGGAATGCTTAGAGGTTGCTTCCTTCTTTCCATAGCACCTTTATGATTTTGCTTTCCAAGTACTGTCAATGATTTCAGTTTTATTTCCCCACTTGATAAGACATTTCTTTTACTGGAGTTTTAAAAAATTAATTTATATAAGAACTTCTTTCAGAGGGATCAAGGGGGTGATGATTTTATTTGCAGATGTAGTTTCTAACTTCAGATCCTCACACATTGTTTCTGGATGCCAGAGAGAATTGTCAAGGGAAAAGGAATGGCTAGGTGGTCTTCCCTGCCGTTCTTAGAGCATTCCCAAGAGGACACCTTGATGATAAAAGGGGAGGGAAGGTCAAGGGTGACTTTGTACAAGTTCGGCATACTGCATGGTCACTTTTTGCTGGAAGTCAACAGTTGGTGGAGGGAGCAAGGAAAATAATAGGCTCGTAGCCAGGAATATGAACAGGTGAGCTGTAGGGGAAGAAAAACTACTGCAATAATGAAAAAAAGAGGCCAGTTTTTACTCTGGGCATGTGTGGTGAGGGAAAGGGGTGATCATCTGCAGAGACTGGAGGAAGTCTCCCTCCAGGAACCCCAGAGTGTGGTGTAAATCGTCAAGACAGAGATGGCAGATCTGGGATAACCACTTATTTCTTTGGAAGGACCCACCCTGTAGTTACAACTTCAGTCTAAGTCTCTGACCTACTCTTCCAAAATTTGAGTTCTTCCAAAAGCTTCTTTTGATCAAGTTCAAAGTCGTCTTCATTTCAAATGGAGAGGCAGAGAGAGAGGGAGAGAGAGAGAGAGAGAGAGAGAGAGAGAGAGAGAGAGAGATCTTTGTTTGAAACTCTTACATGAAACTTACTCTGTTTTAGAAAAAGCTTGTGCTTAGACATGAGAAAGACTTGGGAAACACTTTTTAAAATGCTCACCACAGACTAGCTGTGAGCCCTTGGGTAAGATAGTCAACAAGTTAGGAAACTCAAAGAGCTGCAGTTTCTAAACCTGGAAGTAGGGGAAATAATACCTCTTTTGTAGGGCTGTTGTGAGGATTACATAAGATCAGGTTTATAAAGTGCAAGACCATTGCTGGGCACTCAATAAATGAAGGTAGTATGTATGTTACTATTGATCCCTTCCAACAAGCAGTTAAAAGACCGGCACAACAGAATTTGCAACTCTTTGAACAGCAATGTGGAACAATATAAACGTTTGGGGCACATTTAGGGGATTTATAATTGAAGATGGGGTCTTTTTAAAGGCTTTTATGAAAGTGTGCATGATGTTGCTTTGACAGCTGTGTGAAAACTCTTCATCTGAATTAATGGAAATACATCCAGTTTTAAGAGATTTTAGCTGGTTATCAGATCTAAGAATTAACCAAGCATGTTAGTTTTCTTCCTCTCCACTTCTGCTGTTTTATTTAATTTTGGCATCTTATTCTGGTTAATGTGAGCAAGGTTTGGAACAAAGGCTTAAAAATTACTGACATTCTAGACTTACAGCTAAAGTATGCCTTAGGGATTATCCAGTCTAGTGTTTTCCAGATGTTACTTGTTCAGAAATAATGTGTTTTGACATAAATAATTTTATCATATCCTCATCATTTAATATTTTTGTTTATGTTGACTGGCTTAAAAAAAACTTAATACCCATTTTACTTGTAAGCAGTATGTCATATACTGAGTCTTAAGAAATACATATTTGGTCATCCAGATGACCAAATATCTATTTCCCAGGTATATTAGGTCTTCATCCACAGTTCCTGAAAACACTGCAGAGCCTTAAAGGTGAAATGGGTATCTTGTCATGTTACTGAGAGACCTTTGGACCCCACCCATGGTGGGGGGCTGGAGGTTGAATCAGACAATGGCCGGTGATTTAGTCAATCCTAACTATGCAATGAAGCCCTCACAGAAACCCCTGAGAAGAGCCTCTCTCTCTAGCATCCTGCTTCTCTGTTGGGGACAACTTCCATGTTTGGGAAACCAGAATGTGTCCACGTGCCACAGAGCCAGGCCCCCAGCTCCATGAGGAGAGAAACTCCTTTACTTGGGACCTTGCCCTCTGTGTCTCTTCTCCTGGCTGTTAGCTTGTATTTTTCATGATATCCTTTATTAAACTGGCAAATATAAGTGTTTTCCTGAGTTCGGTGAGCTGCTCTAGCAAATTAATTGAAGGAACCTAGAGGGGAGGTTGTGGGAATCTCCAATCTGTAGCTCATTGATCAGAAGCACTGGGAACTGCCTGGGGCTGGCGACTGGCCTGTAGAGTGGTGGGTACAGAGAGTCTTGTAGGACAGAGCCCTTAACCTAGGGAATCTGGTGCTGTCTCTGGGAAAACAGCATCAGAACTGAGTCGAGTTCTCAGACACCCTGCTGGTGTTCCAGAATTCCTTGGTGTTGTGTGTGGGAAGACCTCCCACCACCACCACCACACACACACACACACACACACACACACACACACACACGCACACACACACACAGGCATTGGAACTGGGTCTGGGAACCTGAGGGAGTTACACTGCTGTGTGTACTATTGCTGTGATTAAGAAAAAACACACAGTAATATTAATAAATATCACAGGCTTGATAGGCTAATAAAATAATACATAACTTAAAGCAATTATCCACATACCACCTAAAATCTTTTCATGCACCACCTGTGGCATGGGTAACACACATGAGTGCACACTGATCACACACACTCATCATTTATAGCTGAGTACAGAGACCCAAACAGATGAAGTGATTTGCCCTGAGTCTCTCTCTGATTGCAACTCCCATACAGCCTTGATATATTGAAGAATTTGATCATTAAAAACCACTAGGTATTTCAATTGTGCCAACTCTTCCCTTCCATGTTTCCCATGTTCTCCCCAAGATCCAAGAGAAGAGGCAAAATAAGGATTAGCTTCATGAAGGAGAAACCCCTACTTATCACAGATGACCCCTTAAAACAATATTGCAAAGGGTCAAAGAACAAGGAACTAGATTTTTTTTTGTTTCATTCTTAAAACAATTTTAAGAATGAATAATAATCTGAGCACAGCTAAATGCTGAAACATAGTTACTTATTTGTGTATACGTTTTGGGAGTTTACTCTTACTGACCAGATTAAGGTCAGCAATATTGGCCTTCTCCTGACCCTGAGTGCCTTGTTCAGTGAAATCCGAGTGTTAGTTCCTGTTTGCGCCATTGTACCTGGTTAAAGAAGGTATTTCTAGTCTCCAGAGAGGGAACAATAAGCTACTGTATGTTTGGTCTCCAGAGTTCATTTCTTCATGTTTTCATTCGTTTTATTCATAAGATTCTATTAGAGTCAATTGTTAAATTGCTGGGAACATCCCCAACAAAGGACAAAAAGGTTCTTCTATAAAACAAGAACAGCCCATCCCCTGCCCAGACTTGAAGGACCATAAATTAGTGTAATAAATTGCAGAATATCAGCAAGTAACTTTTCTTTATACTCTCCTAGGGGCCTGGGATTTGTGAGTCTACTTCTGAAAGTAGGTTAGTAGCTTAGTCAAAATATCCTACTAAACACAAGGGTGCATTCACTGCTTTGAAAAATTGTAGGCCCACCTAGTTAAGTCAGAGCCCATTATGTTCATTTTGATGGATTCAGGTTAATAAGTATAACCTGATAATCGAAATGATTGTTGCAATATTTTAAGGTATTCCTCTCAAAGTTCTCCCTCTACTTCTGGAGTTTGTGGTAAGAAGAACATTCCTCAGTTTATCCTGGAGGTTTCATTTGACACATTCCACTTCAGAGTCACATTTCCCATGCGTTTTGAATATCCTAGAATCCCTTTCTATTTTGAATTCAAGGAAGCATTTGGATATAAATCTATTTGGATTCATTTTTACAAAAAGCACTTTATCGAAAAAGGGTCAGAATTTGAGAGTATGCCCGGTCATGTAATTTCCAGCCAAGAATATAAAAGCAAATACACCACTTAATATTTATAAAGAATTAAGTACTCAGAGCACTAACAAAGACAAAAGCACATGCAATTCTATGTCAAATGAGAAATTTGGGCATTTTCTTTGGAGCAAGCCTTAATCTTGTCTGAATTGTACAGTTTTAAATAAAGCAATATGGGGGAAGATTACAACACACAGTGAAGAAAAGAGGCAATTTTGGGGAATTATATTGTATTGAAAATACACACCAAATACTTTCCTTAACTCTGATGCATGGGACAAGCCATATTCTATCAGAATTTCACACTGGTTTTCTATCCTATATTATAGCCAAGTCTGAAAACAGCATTGTAACAGGAAGGGATGGAAATGTTGCAAAAATATTTGTTCTACTGTACAATGGATGTTTATCTTATTTTAAATTAAATGTTCTCCAACAGA